TGGACCTCTGTACGTCCTATGCAGCTGCCCCCCTTAAAGAAACCAGCTCTCACTGGCACTCTGAGCTTCAGGGAGTGGGAGGAAGTCTTTTGAGTGTAATTTCAGGGGTATTTTTGGCTGCCATGGTTGCCCTGTACAAAAGGATTTAAGCAGAAACCAGAAAAATGGAATAAGTTGCTGAAGTGAATACCTAGCTGGGTGGAGAGAGGTAGTTAGGAGTGTTGGTCAGAAGGTAGGCAGAAAACAGGGTAGGATGGCACCCTGGCACCTTAATTGAGTATTTCTGAGCATGAACTACCCTTACATTCAGTTTACAGTTCGGCCACAAGGTGGCTCTGCTGCTTTCTCAAATTCTTTGTGCCCCTTCAGCAAACACTAGCCTTAGGGTGCTGGTATGCGGTCATGGGTCTCTTTAGATCAATCTATTCTTTCCTTCATTTTGCATCCTGCAACGTAACATGGTCATTCCCCTAACTATTTCACACGTTACATGTCTAAAACTCACAATTGCTCAATGGGCTACTACCAGGGATTCTGGTTTTCTCTGATTTTCTTCAGATTTAAAGAAGTAACCCAAAATCCACATTTTCCATAATCAAAATGAAACACCACTAATTAATATATTATATATATGGATGTTGGGTTACTTTTTTAAAACCAAAAATTGGGGAGGGTTTATCAGAGAAAACCAGGATCCCTGGCTATTACAAATAAAAGATGCTAGAGGGCACCTCATAACAATTCTACCCTCTCAACCTCTTACTACTAAATTACAGCAGGGGGCACTTGTGACATGTCAAATGTACCATCTACTTTATGTGATAATTTTTACATAAGGTACATAATTAAATACTATAAATTCCATAACTGGAATGTGTATTGGCAGTATCTTCTGTGTAAACTTGAGTAAAGTTGTATAATTAATATTTTAATAGTTTCATAGTTTCTAGGGTCAGAAGGGACCTGAGTAGATCATCTAGTCCGACCCCCTGCCATGGCAGAAAAGAGTACTGGGGTCAAACGACCCCAGCAAGGTGTTCATCTAACCTCCTCTTAAAGACCCCCAGGGTAGGGGCCAGCACCACTTCTCTTGGAAGCTGGTTCCAGATCCTAGCTGCCCTGACCATGAAGTAGCGCCTCCTGATATCTAGCCTAAGATATTTTAATCAATATCCAGTTTTTATTATTATTATTATTATTATTAACAGGTTTATTATTTAAAGTATTGTTATCAATGAAGTAAAGTTTATTTATTGTTCAAATCTGCTGTGTGTGCTTCTCATTATGTTCTTCCTTGAACAAGATGCTCAGCCAGACATCTGGCTTGATCAAGTTTGTGGGGTGCTGTTTTGCTATTGTTGCTGCTTTAACTCTGCCCTTGTACAGCAGCCTGTTTGGGGGTGTTTTTTTGCAGGTCCAAGCTGATCCAGCCCCTGTTTGTGGCTGATGATTACACAGCAGCCCCAGAAAACGTTGCGGGGGGGGGGTCCCTTTTTTTTGCAGGTGGACAAGTGAGAGAGAGCATTTTCCTCCAATTATGTGGGTTGTTGTTTAGATAGGGATGGTGATTACGCTCATTAGCAGGATAACACTCATGCTCTTTCCAATTCATATCCCAGAATTCATTATTTTTATTGTGGAATCCTCTTATTACAAGCCCTTTATTATTATGGCTACCCACGTTTATCGACTTTCCAATCCATTTGTTCATGCTTTCACCCACAAAACTTTTGTGTCGCTGAGCAGACACCTTTGTGCTGCTAACCCTGAATTGGGACTAAACACCACCCTTCCAAGCCTCCCGTTTTCATATTTATATAAACCATGGGAAGTCACCCAAATGATGTCCTGCCTCCCCACCTGCCAGAGATTCTGCGGTCCCCGCCCAGTCGGATGGGCAATGGCCTCAGTCTCCAGATGCAGCAATTTGTCTTCTTTAAATGCGTCCAGCGGGTTGAAAAGTTCCATCATCATGGTGTGCCTCAAAGATGAAATACTGTGCAGTATTCTATTAACAGGTTCATCATACCGTATGCTGCATGTACCATCATGAGCATTTCCTTCTCAAGCAGCTGAGTTGTTCACTCTGACCTTTTCAGGGCCTCCAAGATCAGCTGGTTGTCTTCGCTCAGTCAGCGAGGAGTGGACGAAGCCATGTTATTTGGAACCAGAGAACAGACACAAACAGTTAGGTCTGCTGAGTGGAGCCCAGGTTACATAGGGCTGTAGTATAGGCCTATTAGCATTATAACTGTCACGCTATTTACGTGTCAATTCCTGCCCATCAAAGGTCATGTTACTCTAAGCCCTGCTTTGATTACCTGGCTACAGCATCACCCTCTTTTCCATCCCCTCATCAACCCGACTCAGATCTTGCTAACAACACATACTTTGTGTGCAAGCCCCAAAATCACACTAGGCTATATATGTGTTCATATATTTCATCGATTTTGTAGACAATAGGGCTGGAAGGGACCTCACAAGATCATTGGGTCCAGCCCCCTGCCCAAGGGACAGGAAGTTAGCTGGGGTTGTACCCCCTGCAGGCCCTGGGAACTGAGTGCTGAAGAATGCTGGCTTGGTTAATGAGACACTCTATTGGTGTGGGGGGGTAGAGCACACCCCTTCAACCACAGCTTGACTGGCTCACAGTCTGCATTCCACTTTATTGTCCTTGTCTCGCTTTTGGGGTTCCCACCTCTGGCCCTGGCATGCCATCACAGTCCAAACTTTGGGTTTGCTGAGCAGGCAACCTTTTGCAGCAACCTGAATTCTAATGGCTCTGACACCCTGGGGTCAGCCCCAGCCCCTGCCTTTAACTCCGCTGTACAATGTCTCATTGGCCAAGCCAGCATTCTGCATCATTCACTCCCCTCGGTTCACTTTGGGGGTTTGCACCTCTGGTACCAGCATGTCCTCATCATCCATCCAAACTTTGGGTTCACTAACCAGGCAAACTTCTGCAGTGTACCCTGAATTCTGATGGCACTGCCGTCCCAGAGTCATCCCCCAGACCCTGGCTCTACCCCACCCCTCCATGCAGTGACACACCCGTCTCCCACCCCCCCACTCCAGATGGAAAGCTGCCAGTCTCCAAAGCGGCCAGATGTCCTTTTTCTTCCACTCCCTTCCCCCACAACCCCATCAAAGCAAAGAATTCAGCAATGTCTGCCATGATCAAACCCACTTGACTCCTCCTACACCCCCTTACCTCCCCATACCCAATTCCAGTATAGTCAATACACCAATCTGATACATTTGCTTGAACCAAATATTTTATTGAATTTCCACAAAAACTCAGCAACACAGCTTCACTCAACTTTAACAGCAAACTTTAGAAGGTTTTACTTTGTCCTACAGAACACATTCTCCACCTGCAGTAGCCATAATGCGTGCTACCAGGCAACTTCTCACAATAGCTCCCGTACCACTGGTTGCTTAAATGTCTAACCCCGCACAATGCCCTGCTTGCCCCTGTCTAGATCTAGCAGCTGCTCTCACTTCTTTCAGTTCTTGAGCCCAAGAATCACTGAAAATTTCACCCAGTGTTTCACAAATATTGTGAAGCATGCAGGCTGCCACTATGAAAGTGGTGATGTTCTCTGGCTCTACCTCCAGCCTGTAGTACTTGGTAGCTGTTTTGGTCTGAGACAAAAGGACATACAGCTACACCTCTGAAACATGGAAGATGCCGAATTTTAGCCAATTTTGGATTTTAAACTTCATTGCAGAACAACAAGGAAGTTTTTTCACCTCCCTGCCTGCCATCTGACATCTCCAGGGAAGGAATTCTACCTGATCAACACATCAGAGAGCTACTCAACATACCTCACAAAGACACACTCATGGACCCAAAGGGACAGCCTTCCATCTTCAGCTCCCTCTGTGCAAAAATGAAGTTTATTTCCTACTTATGGGGACTTTTTACTATCTTGTACCATCTACACTTTTTCCAGAGCCTGACAAAGGGACTTTAATCCCGAAAGCTTGCAGAAAAGGACAATTTTCTTGCCATTTTCCAGTTGGTCTAATAAAAGATATCATTTTGGAACCAAGAGTTCTAGCTTTTTGTATGTTTTTTTGTCTCAGACCAACACGGCTACCAAGTACACCCATGAAATTACCAGTGAATTCAAGAGGCACTTGGTGGCCAAGGGCTGTCAGAACACAAAGTGGTGAATTTACCTGTATACGATATGTACATGTGACAGAACTGTCATGATAAAACTAAGCTTCCTGGAACAATTTGCCATGATCAAATTAAAATACATCGGAGGTCATCTAAGTTGCCACAATCAAACAAAATCTGCCGTGAAAAACACATGCATGTTTACATGGTGACGCTATTACAATTTTTCATCACTCTTCGTCACATGTACATAGTCAAATCATAATGTGTACAAGCACCCAAGGTAGGCAGAAAACGGTAGGATGGCACCCTGCCACCTCATTTGGGTATTTCTGAGCATGAACTACCCTTACATTCAGTTTACAGATTGGCCACAAGGTGGCTCTGCTGCTTTCTCAAATTCTTTGTGCCCCTTCAGCAGAGGCTATCCTTAATTTATGATGAAGAACCACCACAGGTATACTGCTTTGACCCCTTTTTGGCCTTCTAAAGGACTTTAAAAAAAACTAAAATTTTTTTTCTACTTTTTTACATTTCTTTTTAGAACAGTGATAGCTTAAAAAACATATTGAGGCCCCAAACAATTAACTCCACTTTGCTGCCCTTGCAGAGCTCTTTGGGGATCAGTTTTGGTCATTGCTGTTCTGTTGGCATCTTTAGAGATTCAAAATTTCAATGACAAATTTTCCCATCACGTCAGTTTCTCAGTAAATCACACACAGGGATTTCAATATTTGCCTTCAACTTCCCCTCTTCTTTTCCTTTGTTTCCATTCAGAAACTAAAGGTGGAGACAGCAGCAGCAGCTACATCCCTGAAGCAAAGCTGAAGGCAGGTGAATTGGAATCTTCACCAACAGGCTAGCTCTCCATCCAAAGTAGTATGTATAAGAAACTACATCTATTTTATTAAATTACAATTATACAAACAGCACCATCTGGGGATAATCTGGAGATATCCTAAAGTTCTGTGTTGGGTGGGTATTTGCATTAGCTATTTAGAGAATCTGAACATTGGTCCTAAGTGAACTAAAATTAGAAGATATATACAATTATTTTTAATTTCTATTTCAAAATGAATTAGACTTAGTGCCTATGCCCCTAGAGTCTGTCCAAGAAATAAATTACTATAAAAGACTGAGATCCTGCTGAGTTTATTAAACAGTGCTGATAAATGCTCTAAGAACACAACAGCTAGACCATACTGCCTAAATTTGCCAAAGGAAGAGATGGGCAAAATCAGGACTTTGTAGAGAACATGCGTTTCCATGAGTGGTAGAGAAATAGTGTATGTGCTTACTGGTCTGGGCAGTGCAGGCTATTCGAAGAGGCCACTTCATGTTACTTTTCTTCTGGGAAAGGATTGTCTACATCCAAAGCAGGTGCCCTCATGAGGTATTTGGTTCTATGGATCTTTCTAATTTCTGCATCTGACAGGTCTCCTTCCCATGTGGGAAAGTCCGGAGCTGTCTTCAGCCATAAGTCTTCCATCGGCTCTCTTGCAGTGAACCACCACTCCTACAAAGAACAAAAGGAAAGTAAGACACAAGAAGGAAAATGGATCTCCAGGGGTTGTTTTTCTGTGGTGTTCAAGAAGGCTGGTGAAAGCCACGCTAGTTTTTCTTTTTGTGTGCCTGCATGATCTGCACTACACAAGAATGAAGAGGGATTAGGAAAGTAGCAATTTAATCCTTGGGTATGACTTGGCTTAAGAAAGTATTTGGTACTACTAGTCAAGCAAGCACAAATAACTTCCCCCTGAATGCTGGTTGTGTTGTTGGGAAGTGCAACCAAGGACTACCACCTCCTTTTCCTGCCTGTCTTCCTGTTTGTCAGAGGGAAAGCAAACCCCCCCTGGCAACCACTCTGTTCTGCTTCTTCTAACCCACCAGGAGGATGGCTAAGAGGGAGTAAAGGGACCCTTTAGATGAGTGGCTTTGGCTTGAAGATTTACTTTTGCTAACACTACAGAGACACGTAGTGCATAATGGAAATGCATGTATCAGAGATGTATCTTTGTACAGCAAGGTTTATGGCAAGGTATTTACCTCAGAATACAAAATCCTCAGAGGTGGTAAAACTGCATCTCCAGGGGCATTTGTACATGACACGGGATTTCTTATTTACACCGCTGCAACTGCATTTGTGTTTGCACAAGCAGGATTTCTCTCTGCTTTAAAAGTCTTTTTGGCATGTTAAACTAAAGCTCCTAGGACATAGTTTAGTTTATGTCACCGCCACGTAAGTCATCATACGTATGGATTTGGGGCATGTAAACACCTGGTGACTCAGACTTGTAATTACTCCCTTTTGCCACCAGGTGGTGCTTCCCTCTTTCTGTAGTTCAGGCCTTCTGCCAATAGGTGCCACTATTATTGCTGCTGTTATTTTTTTTTCTTTTTCAGCTCCTGATCATCCCTCCCTCCCCCTGCTCCAACAGCTGACTGCAAGCAGCCAGGGCGCAGTGCGGGGGGCATCTCTAGTAGTTACCCTAGCACAGAATACTTTATACAGAAATAAGGAAAGAAATGGAGGAGCCAGTTGCCAGTTACTGTTGTATACTATCCCCTGGTGAACGGTTCTCCTTGTTTGCAGCAGAGATGGAATTGCTAGTGTGAGGATGATACTGCTCCTGATTGTAAAGGCTGGCCCCTGACTCATGTCTTCCAAAGTTTGTGGGGGAAGGTATAGGGAGCTTGAACAGGATCTTGCCAGGGTAGTCAGGACAGAGGCTATGTCCATGGGAATCTGGAAAACCTCTCCAAAAAACATATTTCAAATCCCTTCCTTATCCTTCTCACATGTCCTTGTAAAGCAAGCAGTTAGTCATTTGCTTTCCCAGCTACCTGTTTTTTTTTCCCTTCTTCCAGTGGTGAAGAGACAAGGTATATTTCTGGCTGGCTTCATTCTGAAAAGCCAGGATTAGGTCCCCCTTGACCTTAATGCTGCCTGCTTGTTCTGCACTGATACAGTTCCTTCTTGTCTCAGTACGAGACAGAAGTGCGTATGGGGGGCAGGGGGAAGAGGGGTGGAGACAGAAGGTCCTGGTAAAACAAACTAGATTTAAGTCTGTCTCCATACTAACTCCATAGTGCAATTTTTATGCCAGGTTTTTCACTATGAGAGGCAAATGTATCAGTTTTGCTTGGCTTCTAAATTCCAAACTACAGGCAGTCCTTGGACTTACAACACAATTGGTTCCTGAAAACTGTCGCGCCCAGATGCGTACCGACCCAGGCTCGCACCCTTGACCTGCGAGCCTGGGTTGGTATGACCGGCTTGGCGTGAGGGGGGATTTATGACCAGACAGGCGGGTATTAATGGCAAGCAGGAGTCAGATAGTCAGATGATTTAAAGCACATTGGTTACACAGAAAGTTTATTTTACTTACGCTACTGATAGTTTGCAGCGTAGGCAGAAGCAGTTGATTTCTTAGTTACAGCATGCAGATGTTCTGTCACCCAGCGATTACAGTGGATTGCAGACTTGCTGAGTACAGGTTTCAAACAGTTTACATGAATTACTACGGTCTGCAGATTACCGAGAGCTCTTGACAAGAGGGACGTATGAAAGATAAGATAAAACGAGAAGAACGAGCTGGCAGGAACGGGGTTACGCCAGAAAAAAAAAA